ATTTAGACATATTTTTAGGAGTCTAGAGTTTGAAAGAAGAAAAATTATGTGGTTTCTTACAATTAACAACCAAGTCTCTATAGGTAATATGGCATTTAAGATCGTTTTTAAACTTGTAAATACAAACTGAAATCAGGTGATTGAACTAACCTATAGAGGAACTAAATTAATAATTGTATTTTCTTGCCCATCATTCTACCACTCAAATAGTGAAAGAATATCTTGTAACTGCAAGTGAACTATGCTTTTTGATGTGTAATTTTGTATCTAACACTTCAAACTGTGAAACACTTCCCACATGCTTATTTATCTCAAAACAGTGGTTTTACCCAAATTGGTATGAGAAAGATTTTCCTTGTCTATGGGAAAGGACAATGTTTTTGTATAAAAGATGCTTTTAGAGAGTTTTTCCAGAAAGATCCTTTTATGAAATTTAAAGAACCACCCTATAGTCTGAAACGTTCCTAATTTGTGTAGAGTGTGTTAAAATAATTCTTCATTTTATAAAATACTGAAAGTAAATGATATTTTGGTTAAAATTTTTTTCTTGGCAAAATGAAAAGTTGGCAATGCTATAATCGTCCCCATTTTAAAGTTTATTGTGTGCAATCCAAATCAGAAAACCATGGATCTAGAAGTTTAAGAGCAACATTTTATACTTCAACAACAGTATGATTTAAATTGGAATGATCTACTCTCCTCTTTATTAAAATGCAAATCAGGGCAGAAAACCCCAGAAATGCAAACTCATCATCTATGGTTTCCTTTAGAACATGGTAGCTCTCTGTGTGGTCTTACTGTTTCTGATTCTTCTGTTAACTAAGGGGGCACCAAAAGGCATATAAAAAGCATTTGAGGAAGTGATTACCTATTTTGCTTCACTCTGTTTTAGGTGCCTTTGCTATATGTCTTTTAATATTAATAGCAATGCTACCTTTTATATAAAATTAAGACATTAACATGCATTAATATCTACTAATAAATGAATGGTTGATTGAAATGTGAGTACATATTAAGAAATATAAAGAAGAATTTTAAATCCCAAAATAGCAAATGTTTCACAGCTGCAAGTTTTTTGTTATTTTTAAACATATCTTTACTGATTTCAGAGAGAGGACAGGAGGGGGAGAGAGAGAGACAAACATCAATGATGAGAGAGTCACTGGCCCGCAACCCGGGCATGTGCCCTGACCGGGAATCGAACGCCGATCTCCTGGATCCCAGGTCGGTGCTCAACCGCTGAGCCACGTCTGGTCAGGCTTCAGCTGTAAGTTTTTGTGTGAACTAGAGCGTCGGATTGCAGAGTAGATGTTTATCCTATAAAAGTTAGTTCACGGAAAACTGAAGAGTCATGCCACCTTCCTTTTGAACCTTTCTGTCAGTATTCCTTTGCTACTGTGATCTATGGATTTATATTGAAAGGACATCTAGGTGCAAAACACCTCATTTTGCATAAAAGCTGCATAATTGCTTTTATATTTAAAGATGTCTTCCTTTAGTGCAAATATGGAAATTTATTAGGAATATATTTTATTTTAACATAAGATGATATTAAAGAAGTACTTTCTTATGCTTTTAGCAGTAGAGTTTCTGTTAGCAAATTGTTCTTTGGGGAGTATCTTGAGGAATTTTGGTAAAAGTACAGCTATTGCACTGTCTACTTTTTTGGAAAGTGAAAACTCATTTATGATAATTTGTGTTCTTTTACCATGTGTTTAATTAATGCCAATGATGTCCCTTCTCTGCCTTAGCTTGACTGTTATTGGGGCTTTCTGATTGCTTCAATACTTAATATTTAGTGTATGCTTTCATTTGGTTAACAGAATTTATGAAGTAATGGGTCAAAAATATTCCTCAGTTTGAGGCAGTTTCATAATGAAGTAGTTTATTAAATATTGATTTTCTAAGAATATGTTTTGCTGTCAAACAAATTATCTCATGTGGCGTTTTGTCTTAGATTGCCATTTGTCTGACTAAGTAAATTCACTATGGTGGGCCTGTCTGATATTGTTGTTATTGGTTGATGGCAACAGAGCAAGTATAGGATTGGAAGGTTATTAAGTATGAAGATGAAATTGGTCAAAATAGTAGAATTGTCCCTCAGATTTTACAATATATTGCAGAATTAAATAGAATTGGGAAAATATCAGTGCTAAGAGCATTTTCAAAAGTTTTGGTGGAGAGCTTAGGCTAAAACATGATTTTGGTAATTTTTTATTTATAATATAAAATCTGTTAACACATTTGTCACTTTTGAAAGAAGTAATTCTTTGTTTTTATTTTTAGTTTGTTATACTTTACCACCAATATAGTTTTATTTATTTATTTATTTAAATCTTTATTGTTGAGAGTATTACAGATGTCCCCCCTTTTTATCCCACATTGCCCCACTCCACCCAGATCCCGCCCCACCCCAGGCCTTCACCACCCTATTGTCTATGTCCATGACTTATTCATATATGCATATAAGTTCTTTGCTTATTCTCTTTCTGGCCCCTCTCTGCTTCCCTCTGAGATTCTTCAGTCTGTTCCATGTTTCCATGCCTCTGGTTCTATTTTATTCATCAGTTTATTTTGTTCTTTAGATTCCTTGTTCATTTATTTTGATTTTTAGATTCAATTGTTGATAGACATGTACTTATTGCCATTTTATTGTTCATAGTTTTTATCTGTTTTTTCCCCTTCTTCTTAAAGAAGACCTTTTAACGTTTCATGTAGTACTGGTTTGGTGTTGATGAAGTCCCTTAGCTTTTTCTTATCTGTGAAGCTCTTTATCTCTCCTTCAATGATAGCTTTGCTGGGTAGAGTAGTCTTGGTTGTAGCTTCTTGCTTTTCATCACTTTGATTATTTCTTGCTACTCCCTTTTGACCTGCAGTTTCTGAAAAATCAGCTAACAGTCATATGGGTGCTCCCTTGTAGGTAACTAATTACTTTTCTCTTGCTGCTTTCAAGATTCTCTTTAGCTTTTAGCATTTTAATTATGATGTATCTTGGTGTGGGCCTCTTTGGGTTCCTCTTGTTTGGGACTCTCTGCGTTTCCGGGACTTGTATGTCTATTTCTTTCACAAGGTAAGAGAAGTTTTCTGTCATTTTTTCAAATAGGATTTGAATTTCCTGCTGCCTCTCTTCTCCTTCTGGCATCCCTATGATGCTAATGTTGGTATGCTTCAAGTTGTCCCAGAAGCTCTGTACACTATGTTTATATTTCTGGATTCTTTTTTTGCTCTTCTGATTGGGTGATTTTTTGCTTCCTTATATTCCAAACTGTTGATTTGATTCTTGGCGACCTCTACTCTATTCTTGATTCCTTTTAAATTATTCTTCACTTCAGTTAGTGTATGCTTCATTTCTGACTGGTCCTTTTTTATGTCCTTGGTGTTCTCATTAAGTTTCTTGAAATTCTCACTAAGTTCCTTGAAGTTCTCAGTAAGCTCCTTCAGCATCCTTACAACCATTGCTGTGAACTCTGTATCTAGTAGTTTCCTTGCTTCCATTTCATTTAGTTATTTTTCTGGAGATTTCTTTTGTTCTTTCCTTTGTGACATGTTTCTTTGTCTCCACATTTTGGCTGCTTCCCTGTGCTTGTTTCTGTATGTTAGGTAGAGGTGCTATGTCTCCTGTGCTATGTGTCCTAGTAGAGTGGCCTTGTGTAGTAGGTGTCCCGTAGGGTCCAGTGGCTCAGCCTCCCCAGTCACCTGAGCTCAGCACTCAAGGTTCGCCTCTGTGAGGTCTGTGTGCACTGTCCTGTTTGTAGTTGAGCCTTGATTGCTGTTGGTGTCACTGTGAGGGACTGATCTCCAGGCCAATGAGCTGTGCATACCAGCTGGGACTACAGCAGAATAGCTGCTGTGTAGGAGCTGCCCCAGTGGAGCAGGATTTGCTTCAGTGGGGCTTTGGTGCTCTTTGAGTGTGCCCCTTGAGTGTGTTGCTCATGGATGTGGTAGGGTTGTAATCTGGTGTGGTCTGAAGCTCACCATGGGATGGGCTGGCTCTGGGGCCTCCTGGGAGATGCAAAGTCAACTACTTCATGTGCCCTTCCTGGGGCTACCCAGCATGAGCTGCTGAGTGATTTGTAGATGGCTGCTACTTGTGATGGACTTGGAGGTGCCCAGGAGAGACCAAGCTGTGAACCAAGGCTGCTGCTAGTGCTGCCTGGGTCCTCTTATCAAGAGGTATGGGGCACGCTGACACCAGCTGCTGCTTGTTTGAGAGATTTTAGAAAAGTCTGAAGCCTGAGCCAGGACAGGACATTCTTACGGAAAGACAACTGGGAATTGGGTGGGACGTGGTCTCAGGGAGTCACCAGGGCCAGGCAAACAGTGTGAGCCAGGTTGAAGGAAACTGCGATAATGGTGACGGGCTCTGGGCACTGTGGCACGGAAGTTTCAGCATAGGAACATTGACCTCTGCCAGCACTTTTTTTTGGGAGAAAGCTGCCCCCCAGTTCTTGTCCTGATGCTAGACACTTTAGTTCCTCCCCATATGTCCCTGAATCCTTTCAAGCTGCTGCCCCAGCTCTGGAGGTCAGAGGGAATGAGTCCAAGCAAGCCTGTGCTCCAGCCCTTTAAGAGGATCTGCCTACGTCTCCCAACAGCCTCCGTGTCACTCAGCCACAATTCCTGCTGGTTTTTACAGCCTGAAGTAATGGAGGCTTTTATTCCCAGCACTGGATCCCTGGGCTGAGGGGTCTGGTGTGGGGTGGAACCCCTTGCTCCTCACATAGACCTCCACAGCCAAGATATCCCTCCTGATTAAAAAAATGCTACAGGTGTGTGTCAGATCAGCTTGTTCCGTGCCTCTACCCCTTCTGCCAGTCTCAGTGTGGCTTCTTCTGTAATTCTCTAGTTGTAGGACTTCCGTTCAGCCAGATTTCAGGTGGTTTTTCTGTGGTTTAGGTGTAATTTTGATGTGGTTGTGACAGGATGCGAGTACCATGTTTACCTACACAGCCCTCTTGATTGGACCCAATATAGTATTTTATTGTCTTTTTACTCTCAAGAATTGCCAAGAAGATGCTTTTAGAAGAAATTAAAGCCAATCTTTCCTCTGAGGAGGATGGATCTTCAGAGGATGAACCGGAAGAAGGGAAAAAAAGAACTGGGAAACATAATGAAGTAAACCCAGGAGATGAGGGTGAGCTCCCCAAAGAAAAGTATGCGATATCATAATTTGATTGTTTGACCAGTTAAGTCTTTGAAGGCTACCTGACCATGCATGGCATTTCTTAATACATGCATTTGAAGTTTATGAAAATGTTTAAAACTTTACTACCTTTACTCCTTTTGAGTATCTGATAATAATTGTTCATGTTTTCTCAGTTACTGCCAATAAACAGATGATTTTTAAAGCAAGGTATTTTTCATCTTTTAAAAAAAGATCTACAAATATTTGGTGATGTTTAATCAATATTTAATAATAGTAATAGATCAGGTCTGATGTATGAGATTGCCTGGTCTCACCAATGATACTCAGGTAAGTATACAACAGTGATCTTTTCCATAAGTCATCATAATTGTCAACAAACAAAATAGTTTTATAAAATATTTTAAAGGAAAAAAGTTTGAAGGTTTTACTGATTTATTTTCTCCATTTAGAAGCAAAAAATCAAGTCAATTCTGAATCAGATTCAGATTCTGAAGAATCTAAGAAGCCAAGATACAGACATAGGCTTTTGAGGCACAAACTGACTGTGAGTGATGGAGAATCTGGAGAAGAAAAAAAGACTAAGCCTAAAGAGCACAGAGAAGCCAAAGGCAGAAATAGAAGGAAGGGTAAGACATTTTAATTCCTAATGTAAGGAACATACTGGTTTTAAAAACTAATTATAGTAATGAAATTTATGTATATCTGCTCCAACAGTTGACCACCTATATTAAGTAAATATCAGCACACTGGCAACAACTATTCCCTTACATGAGAGTGAAGTAAAGAATCTAGAGTGGGAAAATAACCCCGAAACTTGAGAGATGACAGGAAAAATATTTTTAACCTTTAGTAGTCTTACATTTAGATTGAAAAGATAAATAAATATGCCATAAATAAAATATAGTTAAAGGTTATGTAGAAAATACAGAATTGCTTATAACTGCAGGAAGAAATAATGCTTTCCTAAGAAAAGGTATAAGATACAATTAATTTGGGTGGATTTATGCCTACTTATATATAAAACTTATATGTAGTCAGATTAAATTTTCATTACATTAAAAATCTGAATTCTTCAGCAATGAGTGCTTACATGTTTCCAGTACCATAGTAAACACTGAGGATATAAAAATGAATTAGGAGGTCATTGTATTGTATGATGGTTTTCAACCTGGCTACACATGCAGATCGCTTCGGGGATTTTAAAATATACCCATGACAGAGTTCTATCCCAAGCCAATTATAGTATAGTAGGTGGTGGTGGAACGTAGGTTTTTTTAATTGATTAAAAATATTCTTTTAACGTATGTTTTTATTGATTTCAGAGAGAGGAAGGGAGAGGGAGAGAGAGAAATGTCGATGAGAGAGTCATTGATTGGCTGCCTCCTGCCTGCCCCCTACTGGGGATAGAGCTCGAAACCTGGGCATGTTCCCTGACTGAGAATTGTACAGGAACCCTTCGGTGCCTGGGACGATGCCCTACCAACTGAGCCACACTGGCCAGGGCTCCATATGTTTTAAAAGCATTTCTGAGCCCTAGGTGGTTTAGCTTGGTGGTTAGAGCATCAGCCCACGGACTGAGGTGTCTCTGGTTGGATTCCAGTCAAGGGCACGTACCTTGGTTGCAGGCTTGATCCCTGGCCCTGATCAGGACGCGTGTGGGAGGCAACCAGTCGATGTCTCTCTCTCACATTGGTGTTTCCCTCTCCCTCTCTCTCTCTGTCTCTGTCTCTCTCTTTCCCTTCCACTCTCTGAAAAGCAATGGAAAAATTATCCTCAGGTGAGGATTAAAAAATAAAAAGCATCTCTGATATAATTCTTATTATTAGCCAGGTTTGACAGTCATTGGTTTGGTAAGAATTTTTGATATTAACATTATAAGAAATTAAAGCACCATGAGGATGTCTTGTACAACAGAAGTATAGTGTGGCACAAAGAAGGATTTCTTTATCTTCTTAGGGGGTGGTGGGTATCCCCAGAGAAGACTTCATGAAGATGAGGAGGTTCACCTAACACAGTGTTGTACATGGGTTGCAGGTAGATGTGTTGTGAGGATTTCTAATGTAAGCAGGAAAAAAATTTTAGAAGCTTCTGCAAAATGTTTGGTAAATGGTGGAGGGGATGCAATTAATATAGTATTGTTGGACTATAGGAGGGAGTAGGAAAAGGAGCTATGGGAAATAAGGCTGGGCCAGTAAGACAGAGATCAAATGCTGGAGACCCTTGTAAACTTTTGTTTCTCATACTGGAGCATTTGGCAGTGAACCCATGGATACATGAGGTTGTGGAGTAAAACATGATACGTCTCTGGTGTATTCATTTACTTGAGAATTGTGGGAGAGCATTTCTTATGTGAAGTAATCACATGTATATTGAGCAATTAAATGTTAAATTTGTCTCAGAATTTTGGCCAACAAAAATTTCAAAGAAATTTTTTTGCTTCTTAGAAGCAGACTGTGAAGACTACTACCCAACTCTTTTAGGGCAGATTAGCTCTTTGCTACTAGGAATAGAAAAGCAGTTGTGGAAGTCACTGATAACTCAGTTCTATAGGCTGGAGAACCATTGAAAGTTGTTGTGTTTTTTTAATTTAAAAAAGTATATAATTTTTTTTATATCATAGCTGTATTGAAATATAATTCACAAACAGTACACTTTACCTCTTTACAGTGTACAATTTAATTATTTTTAGTATATTTAAAGAGGAATGCTACCACTTAAATATTTTCATTTGAGGTATACTATATAGAGAGAGAACTGTGCATTTCATAATTTGAAAACTTGATGAACACATGTGGAACCTAGATAAAGGCACAGGATATTCATTACTGGTACTCAAGAATCACAACCTCAGCACAACCCACTTGAAGGATATAATAAGATCAGATTAGTTGCCTGTTATTCTGTGATACTGAAGGCTTTGAATCTGTTTGGGGGATATTGCTATAGTTGATGCCAAATGCGGTTGTTGACTTGAGTTATATAAGAGGTTGAATTGTTAGGCCTTATTAGCTGATACAAAAGATGAAAGTCTAGGATGAACTTGCAGGTCTTTGGAGTTGTAGTATATTTTTAAAACCACAAAAATAATTGAGATTGCCTAGTGGAATTATAGCATTGTGCAAATGGAGGGCTAAGGAAAAAATATTGGAATGCTGAACATTTAAAGGTCTATTGAGCAATTGTTTCCCATAAAAGAAGAAAACAAGGAAGTCACCCCTCCACATACACATATACTTAATATGTCATGGACATTTCCATGTTAATAAATGAATAATAATACATCATTTTGTGAATGCTTATCTCATAAATTTCTTTGCAGCATGACTACAAACGTCTTTCAGATTCTATAAAAGAAATCGAACAATTTAGCAGGTTACATAAAGAGAAATAGTGATTTTGCCTCAAAGCCTCAGCTAAGGATAGAGTGCTTTAGTGGGCACAATTACATTCGAAATGCTTTATTAAAACCCACATTTTCTGTGACCTATGTTTTCACTCTCTTCTTCTATGGGTAACTTACTATCCTCGTGGTTTTTGTTTGTTTGTGTAGGTGGGAGTAAATTAAAATCCCATCATTTATCTTTTTAATATGGATTATGATTGTAGTGATTGATACTATATTTGAAATGGAATGATTTTCCAATAAGTTTTGCATAGTCTTGTGTCCCTATATTGTGTGGAAACTTGAGTTGGGCAATGGGGAGAAATGAAAAGAGAATAGCTTACTTATTAAAATCAAGTGCAACATGGAAACTTTAATTTTCACCTAAATTTGAAAAAAGTTCTGGAAGTTATTTTGGTGATAATTTCGAAAATGTAATTATTGTCTTTATATTAGAAGATATTAAATTGATGTTATTTTTCTCAAGTGTTATAATGGCATTTAGTTATGTTGGACAGTATCCTTATGCTTAATGGTAAAGTGTCATGATGTCTACACTTAATTTCAAATGGTTCAGTGCATGTATATGTACAGAAGGATAAAGCAAATGTGGTAAACTGTTAACAATAAGTGAATTTAGAAGAAGGGATTCAGGTGTTCATTCAACAATTCTCTTAAATTTTTGGTAGGTTTGAAAATTTCAAAATAAAATGATTGATGAGAACTTGATACTGGGTTTAAAATTATACTTAATCACAAAATTGTGTTTGTATGCATTTGGACACACGTGTTCTTCCACAATTCATAGTTGCTTACTTAGCAGGTCTTTTTTATTTTTTATTGCAGTAAAATATTCATAACAAAATTTTAACCCTTTTAATCATTTTAAGTGTACAATTCAGTGGCATTAAGTATATTCACATTGTTGTGCAGCCATGAACATTATCTGTCTCCAGAACTCTCATCACGTAACTTATTTCCTTCTCCTCCAATAGCAATTTTTTTATAATATCTATGTTTGCCCATATTTGTTTGTTTTTAAAATAGAACAGACCTTTGATTTTGATATCTGGTCTTGGTAAATCTTTTAAAATTTTAAAATTTTGCAATACTTTTAGATTTACAGAATTGTTGCAAAAAATGGTACAGAGTTCCTGGGTATCTTTGACTTAGTTTCTCTAACACTTTACACTTATTACATAGTACAGTAATCAAAGCCAGGAAATTAACATTGATTGATACAATACTATTAAGTAAACCAAGTGTTGGCTAATTACACCAGTAGGCTAAATCAGACCTTCTGCCTATTTTTATAAATAAAGTTATATTGCCATATAGTCATACTTATTCAGTTACTGCTTTCATGTGTTTATAAGGGCAAAGTTGAGTAAAGATGAGTTGTTGCAACAGATACCATATAGCCAAAAAGTTGAAAATATTTACAATCATACTTTTTACATAAAACGTTTTTTTACCTCTGAAGTAAAATATAGATCTTTCCCCACTAATGTCCTTTTTGTGCTTCAAAGTCCAATATAGGATTCTACATTGCATTCGGTTGTAATGTTTTCTTAATCTACTCCAATCTGTGACAGTTCCTCTGTCTTTTCTTTCATGACCTTGCCAGTTTTCAAGAGTATTGATTAGTTATTTTCTAGACTATCCATCTGTGTGTATTTGTCTAATACCTTTTCATGATTAGATTGAATACCACAAAACAAGAGTACCACAAAAGTGATATTGAATCCTTCTCATTGTATCATACCAAGGGTATATGATGCCAGGATGTCTTATTACTGGTAATGTTAATCTTGATTACTTGGTTAAATTGGTGTCTGCTGGTTTTCCACTGTAAAAGATATTCTTCTGTTCATATTTAATGAATCTCTTGTGGGGAAATACTTTGAGACTAGACAAATCTTCTGTTTCTCATCATACTTAAGCCCGCTAGTTTTAGTATGCTTCTTGCTTGGAGCAATTATTACTGTGGTGTTTGTCTAGTGGTGATTTTCTATTTCTTTTATTACTTCTACATTTACTAATTTTAAGGAAGAGCTGTCTGTTTTCCCCATTTTTTATCCCATTACTTATATTAATATGGACTTGTAGATGTTTATTTTATTTTATGAGTTATAATCCAATTGTTCATTTTGTTACTCAAATCGTTCCAGGTTTGGCTCAGGGGCTCCTTCAAATTGGATTATGTGTCCTTTGAATATGCCCCCATCATTTTTTGAGCACTACTTTACTTTCTGGTACCACATGATATTTCAGACTCATCTTGTATTTTCCCTGCTTGGCTTCCTGAAGCCAGAAAGATGAGTATTCTGGGGTTTTAGGTGCCTATGTCATAGTGGCAATTTTGGTAGAGAAAAATAAAATTTTGGAGAGAAAAAAAAAATTCTTGAGATTTGCAGGGCCCAGATTCTTTTTCCCAATGTTGTGGCTAGAAATGCAGTTCTCCCAGAAATGGGGTTCTCTGTAGTTTTGGAATTCAGCCTGCCTTCCTGTCTCAAAAGCAGGAAAGAAATGGGGGGGAAATGACACTCAACAGCTACCTGTCAAACCCCCAATTTTATAGTGATCATTATTTAAGTTTTTTTTTTTTTGATCCTCACCTGAGGATATGTTTTTATTGATTTTTATAGAGAGAGAGAAACATCTATGTGAGAGAAAAACATCGATCTGTTGCCTCCCATATGTGCCCTGACCAGGGATCGAAGCTGCAACCTAGGTATGTGTCCTGACAGGAAATCGAACCTGCATCCTTTTGGTTTATGGGACGATGCTCCAACAGAGCCAGCTGGCCAGGGCCATTATTCAAGCTTTGATTTGAGTCCCCAATGTGTTTTCTTTTCAGAGTCTTTACATCATTTCTTTATGTATTTTGTCCATAGTTTTTAATTCTCATAAATGGCTAAGAGTCTGTAGTCACCCTGACACCATCATGGCCAGCCTACTGTGTTTGTTTTAAATAACCAGAATTATTTTACTTTATTCTATTTACCTTTGATAATTATGGATATATTTTATTGATAGGTAAATTCTTATTTTTAAGTTAATATACAGTTAACACACATTTCAGTGTAGAACCATAGTTTTATAATTATAGTTGGAATACCTTTGAATTATTTTAATAAATACCATTTGAATCATTAACTGATCTAATGTGCATGGTGTAGTGCCATTAATGTATATATTACAGATATTCTCACAGTAATTTAAGTTTGCATGTGAGGTTATTGACAAATTAAGTGAATTATATTTGTTTTGGGAAGTATTTAACAACTTTATATATATATTTTTTTGTTGAAGTGAGCAGTGAAGATTCTGAAGATTCGGATTTTCTGGAATCAGGAGTTAGTGAAGAAGTTAGTGAATCTGAAGATGAACAACGGCCCAGAACAAGGTAAATGTTATATTTTTTTTCAAAAATTTTAGGAATTAATCTGAGTAATCATGTTTAAATTATTTGTAGAAATGTTGCTCTTACTAATAAAGTTAACTAAATATTTAATATTTTGGTTTGAACCTAATTGTTAAAGTTATTAAAATTTTTTTGGTATTTTTTTATTGTTGGCAGTATTATAGAGGTCTCCCATTTTCTCCTTTTTTGCCCCCCTCAACCCAATCTCAAATTATTAATTTAAAAGTAGTGTATATAAACATATGTGTAATTGAATTATGTGTGCTAAATGAGGTAGAGTTTCAGTGTATAAAAACACTCTTTACAGTACTTTTTGCTTGGGCGGGGGGGGGCGGTTTATAGTGTAGTAGATGAGAGACTCTATAGACAAATGACCGCAATCCATCTCCTGGCTTTACTACTTTTCATTTGTCTGAGTACCTTGTGCTTTTGTTCCCTCATCTGTAAAATGGGAGATTACAATAGTACTTACCTTATTGGTGGTTATGAGCATTAAATGAGACGCTTCATTGAAAGGGCTTATAATATTGCTTATTTGGCAAATTATAAGTGCTCCATGAATACTAATTAACGGTCTTACTAGTACTACTAGTATTATAGTAATTAAGATGTGTTTGTTTTTTTAACTCACAAAGCTACTGATGTAGATTATTAGTTATTTAAAATTTTGCTTTGTAGCATAGTATTTTAGAATAATATTAATGAATCCAAGAATTTTAATTTCTTTCAGAATAATATGATTCTTCTATAATTTATTAAATGGGCAATCTATTTATGTTTGTGTGTGTATATGTGTGTCAACATAGGTGTCTACACTTATAAATTTTAAAACATGTGAGGTTTTTTTTTGAGATTAGTACTTACCATGTTGTGCCTAGAGTATAGCAACTTATGTATTTTAGGGAGATATAAAATAATAGGGTGCAATGGTAATTTTAAAAAACAGATAGAAATCACGTAACAAAATTAACGAATTTATAGTGTAGAATACAGTGGGTTTTTTTTTTGCAACCTTTGTTTTTTATTTATTGTTGACAGTATTACAGATGTCCACCATTCCTCACGACATTTGCCTCCCTTCACACAGTCTCCGCCCCAGGCTTTCCCCACATTATTGTCTGTGTCCATGGCGTGTGTGTGTGTGTATTTTTTGATTAATCTCTTACCATCTTCCCCACCCCATTCGCCTCTAAGATCTCTCACTCTGCTCCATGTATCCATGCCTCTGGACCTGTTTTGTCAGTTTATTTTGTTCATTAGATTCCACATATAAGTGAGATCATGTGATAGTTGTCTTTCTCTGACTGGCTTATTTCGCTTAGCATAATACTCTCCAGGTCCATCCATACTGTTGCAAAGATAAGAGTTCCTTCTTTATTCACAGCTGAATAGTATTCCATTGGGTGAATGCACCACAGCTTTTTTACCCACTTCTCTACTGATGGGCACTTGGGCTGTTTCCAGTTCTCAGCTATTGAAAACTACGCTGCTATGAACATAGGGGTGCATATATTCTTTCTGATTGGTGTTTCAGGATTCTTAGGATATATTCCTAGAAGTGGGATCATTAGGTTAAATGGCAGTTCCATTTATAATTTTTTGAGGAAACGCCATACTGATTTCCACAGTGGCTGCACCAGTCTGCATTCCCACTAGCAGTGTACTAGGGTTCCCTTTTCTCCACATCCTTGCCAGCACTTGTTTGTTGATTTATCGATAGTAGCCATTCTGTCAGGTGTGAAGTGATACCTCATTGTGGTTTTAATTTGCACCTCTCTGATGATTAGTACATTGAGCATTTTTTCATGTCTGTTAGCCATCTGTATGTCCTCTTTGGAGAAGAGTGTATTCATGTCCCTCTCCCATTTTTTAATTGGATTATTTGTCTTCCTGGTGTTGAGTTGTATGAGTCGTTTATATATTTTGGAAATTAACCCCTTATCAAATGTATTATTGGCAAATATGTTCTCCCATACAGAGGGCTCACTTTTCATTTTGATGCTGATTTCTTTTGCTGTGGAGAAGCTTTTTAGTTTGTGTAGTCCTATTTGTTTATTTTTTCCTTTGTTTCTCTTGCTGTAGGATATGTATAGGCAAAAAGACTGCTTTTTGAGATGTTTGTGATTTTACTGCCTATGTTTCCTCCTAGTATTTTTATGGCTTCATAACTTACATTTAAGTCTTTTATTCATTTTGAGTTTATTCTGGTGTATAGTGTAAGTTGGTGGTCTAGTTTCATTTTATTTGCATGTACCTGTCCAGTTTTCTGACCATTGTTGAAGAGACTGTCTTTACTCCATTGTATGCTTTTGCCTCCCTTGCTAAATATTAATTGACCATAATGATGTGGTTTGATTTCTGGGGTCTCTATTCTGTTCAGTTGGTCTATATGCCTGTTCTTATGCCAGTACCAGGCTGTTTTGATTACAGTGGCTTCATAGTATAGTCTAATATCTGCTATTGTATTTCTGTCATTTCTTCAAACAAGTTCTCTATCCCTTCTCATTTCCTTCCCCTTCTGGGTCCCCTATGATACTGTTTAATGTTCACATGTTTGTGTTTTCCCCCCAGCTTTTTTCTTGTAGTTAATTTCCAGTTTTTTATTTTTGTGGTAAGAAAATATGCTTGGTGTGATGTCAGTCTTAAATTCATTGAGACTAGTTTTGTTCATGAACATATGGTCTATCCTTAAGAATGTTCCATGTGCTCTTGAGAAGAATGTATATTCTGTTCTTTTGGGGTGGAAAGCTCTCTAAATATTGATTATGTCCATTTGGTTTAATGTGTCATTTAAGACCAACATTTTTTTTATTGACGTTCTGTTTGTTGTTAATGTTGTATTCATTTCCCCTACTATAACTGTATTTTTGTTGTGGTCATTTTCAAATTGCAAAAGCTATTGTCTTTTCAAAAATTATTTTACCCCTTTTAAACTTTGTTATAATTAACATTTAATACCCCATTCTGAATAGAGTTGCAGTTTTCTCCTTCTGTCTGTCTATATGTCATTTTACTGTTTTGTACCCTTTGTCTTTTTGTTTCCAGTAAAACTGCTCCTTTCAGTACTTCTAATAATGCATATCTAGTGGTGGTAAATTCCCTTAGCTTTCGTTTGTCTGGCACAGTCTTTATTTCTCCTTCATATCTAAAAGGAAAACTTCTCTGGATATATTATTTTTGGCTGTTGATTTCTCTTTTTTAGTATTTTGAATATTTGATTTCACTTCCTCCTAGCTTGTAAGGTTTCTGCTGAAAAATCTGATGATAATCTAATGGGGTTTTCTTTTTTTAATTATTTTTTTCCTTTCTTTTCTTATTTCCTTTTATTTACTTTCTTTTTTAATTTAGTTTTCAAAATATTCCTGTTGTCCCCTTTTTTCCCCATTGACCCCTTCCACCTTGTACCCACTCCCCTCCCCAGGCCTTCACCANTCCCCATGTAATTGGGATGCAAGTGAACCACAGAACACATTTTAAGAACATTCTTCCTGGATCATTGTTTCAACTCTGTCACTCATTCCTGGGCTCTCTGCTGTCTCTCTAGTTCCTTTTTTTGTTTGTTTCTTTTTGTTTAAAATATTACAAATGTCCCTTTTTCTTCCCAATGAGCAATTCCACCCCATCCCATCCCTCTCCCCAGTCCCTCTCCCCACCCTGTGTCCATGGGTTACGCATATATGTATATACATTTTTTGGTTAATGTCTCCTCCTCTACCCACCCACCCTCCTCCAACCCTCTGACATTCATCAGTCTGATCTATGTTTCCATGTCATTTAATCTATTTTGTTCATCAGTTTATTATGTTCTTTAAATTCCACATATAAGTGAGATCATGCGATATTTGTCTTTCTCTGCCTGGCTTATTTCACTTAGCATAATCTTCGCTAGGTCCATCCACACTATCCCAATGGGTACAAGATCCTTCTTCTTTACAGCTGCATAGTATTCCATGGTGTTCATGTCCCACAGCTGTTTTATCCACTCATCTTCTGATGGGCACTTGGGCTATTTCCAGATTTTACCTATTGTAAATTGTGCTGCTATGAACATAGGGGTGCATATATTCTTTCTGATTAATGTTTCAGGATTCTTAGGATATATTCCTACAAGTGGGATCACTGGGTCAAAAGGCAGTTCCATTTTTAATTTTTTGAGGAACCTCCATACTGTTTTCCATAGTGGCTGCACCAGTTTGCATTCCCACTAGCAGTGTACCAGGGTTCCCCTTTCTCCACATCCTGGCCAGCACCTGTCATTTGTTGATTTGCTGATGGAGCCATTCTAACAGGTGTGAAGTGATACCTCATTGTGGTTTTAATTTGCATCTCTCTGATGATTAGTGATGTTGACCATTTTTTCATATGTCTCTTGGCCATCTGTATGTCCTCTTTGGAGAAGTATTTATTCATGTCCTTTGCCCATTTTTTAATTCGATTGTCTTCCTCTTTTTGTGTTATATGAGTTCTTTGTACACTTGGAAATTAGCCCTTCATCAGATGCATCCTTGGCAAATATGTTCTCCCATACCGTTGGGTTCCTTTGTATTTTGATCCTGATTTCTTTTGCTGTGCAGAAGCTTTTTAGTTTGATGTAGTTAATGGGGTTTTCTTTATATGTGACAGTCTTTTCTCCCTGTCTGTCTTGAGAAATCTTTCATAGTCATTAACTTTTGACAGTTACAATATATTGTTTTTTGGAGAAAGTGAGTTTTTATTGTTTGTTTGCTTGTTTTTGCATTGAGATAATTAGGTGTTCTGCTAGCCCCTTAGATTTGAGGTTTTAGCTCTTTCTAAACATTTGAGAAGTCCTCAACAATTATTCCTTTGAGTAGGCTCTCTGTTCCCTTCTCCTCTTCTCCTTCTGCTATATCCACTGTTCTTATATTGCTCTTTCTAATGGAGTCATATAGTGCTCTTAGAGTTCTTTTATTTTTTGTTAACCCTTAATTCTTTCTTCTTCCACCTGAGTTATTTCTAGATGTCTAAGTTTGAGATCACTCATTCTCTTTTCCATCTGGTCTGAGTTCTCTAATTCATTCTACAGAATCATTTATTGATTTCTTCAGCTCCAGAATTTTTGATTCTTTTTCGTAGTTTCAATCTCTAAAGTACTCATTTTATTCATTAATTTTATTTCTGAGCTCATTGAACTGCATTTCTGAGTTTTCTTATATCTTGTTGAATTTTTTCAGAACCATAATCTTTAATTTTCGGTTGCTTAAATCATGTCTTTTAGTTTGTTTTTTGGAGACTTCATTTTATTTCTGAGCTAAGTTGTTAACTTGGTTATTCTTGGTATTTGATTGTTTTTTTCACTGCCTGGTTATTTGAGATATTAAAATCTTTTTTAGATACTGTTTTGTTTTTAACATTTTAGCAGGTTGATAAGTAGAGGTCTTTCTTTTGTTTTTTAGTCGATGGTCCTATAGTGCAAGTTTTTGTTTCATCTGTACTACTTGGACTTCTGAGATCTCAGTGGGGCAGTGTCTCCTCAGAGGTGGAAAATGCTGTGATGTTGAGCATCTTTTCATGTGGTTTTATGGTCTCTGAGTTAGATGAGATAGATTTATGACCCTTGGACCTCCCTCAGACAGTCCAGAAAGATGCAAGGAAGTTCTCTCTTTCTTTTCCTTCCTGCAGAATGATCTGGGAATTTGGCAGCTTACTCCTGACCTTGTTGAGGTGATCAAGGAAGAGGGGAGGGCAAGTGTGAGCATAAATGCTATGGCATTTCTTACCATTTTAAGTGTGGCTCTTGGTTAGGTGTTTGTTTGTTGCAATTTTTTAACTGGTTTCTGAGTTCACACAAAGTTACTTTTTACCATATGTTGTTGCTTATTCTTTGTGTGTGGGAGGACAACAGCCTGGAGTTTCCTAGTCTACTATCTTGTGGAGGTCACTAGATATTTCATTACTTTTAATGGGTGAATAATATGCTATTGTATAGATAATACCACATTTTGTTTATCCATTCATCTGTGGGTGGACGCTTGGGTTTTTCACACTTTTTTTGCCATTATGAGTAATGTTGCTATGAACATTTATGTAAATTTTTACATAGTCCTATGTTTTTAGATTCATTCATAGGAACATACCTAAGAGTGGAATTGTTGGGTAATATGGTAACACTATGCCTAATTTCTAAGTAACTGCCAAACTGTTTTCCATAGTGGCTTACCATTTTACATTCACACAAACAATGCACCAGGGTTTGAATTTTTCTATGTCCTCACTAACATTTATCATTTTTGTTATTTTGTTTTTAGTCATCCTAGTGGTGTGCAATGGCAACTCATGATTTTCATTTGCTTTTCCCAAATAACTAATGATGCTGAGCAATTTTTCATGTGCTTACTGGTGATTCACATATTTTATTTGGAGAAACATCTATCAAAATTATTTTCCCAATTTTTAATTTGGTTATCTTTTTATATAGTTTGGGTATAAAACCCATGCCCAGATGTATGATTTGCCAATATTTTTTCCCATTGTGTGGGTTATCTTTTTACTTTCTTAAGAGTATCCATTTATGTACAAAAGTTTTTTCATATGTATTAAGTCCAGTTTATCAGTTTTTTTGTGTGCTTGTGCTTTTGGTGTCACATATAAGAATCCATTGCCTAATCCAAGGTCACAAAGATTTATGGTAGTTTATTCTTTCACAAGTTTAGTAGTTTTAGCTCTTGCATCTAGAACTCTGATCCTTTTTTATAACCTCTTTGAAATTTTATTTAAGTAAGCTTCTAGTTTTGTATGTTTAGATGGTTCTCAATTTTTCTATTATAAATACTGTTGTAAAAATATTTGCATATTCACACAGACATATTTACAAATATTTTTATTACAACACTTTTTAAATAATGTACATTTGCACACATATATATACACATATCTGTGTGTGTATTCACACATTTGTCTGATTATTTCCTTGGAGTATATTACTAAAAGTGACACTGTTGAGTCAAAGTTGTACAGTTTTAAGACTTGTCATACATATTTTTATATTATCTTGTAGAAGCCAATATTTCTCCTCCCAGCACAATGTGTAAGTACCCATTTCCTCAAACCTCAAGAATAAATCAGTGAACAGTTTTTTAGCTATAATGTATATCTTAGGGGACTTTGATCCACTTTGAGTTAATTTTTGTGTATTGTACAAGATACAGGGCCAACATTATTCTTTTCCATGTAGACATACAGTTGTCTCAGCACAATTTGTTGAAAAGACTCTTTTTTTTATCAAATTGTCTTGACACCCTTGTGGAAAATCTGTTGACCATAAATGTAAAGTTTTATTTCTGGGTATTCATTTCTCTTCCATTCATCTGTATGTCTATCCTTGATGCCAGGAATATGCTGTTTGACTTACTATAACTGTGTACCGATTTCTAAGCTGAGAGAACTTTTCTCATCAAAAGTTGTCACTGTTTTTTGTCTTTTTTTTTTTTTTTTTATAAATTAAATGAGCTGATAGAAAGAAATCAGTATCCCACTTTTATACTCAGCTTTTTTAGAGATGGTGAATATTTTCATGTGTATATTGGCCCTTCACCCATTTTATTACTCATATTCCAAATCTGTTCTCTGAGTAACTTAAAATATTGATCTTTGGATTAGAATTTAGAGTTATCCTTCTTGAACCTAGTGAAGTTATTATTATTATTATTATTTTTAAATATATCTTGATTGATTTCAGAGAGAGGAAAGGAGAGGGAGAGAGAGAGAGAGAGAGAGAAACATCAGTGATGAGAGAGTCATTGATCGGCTGCCTCCTGCACAACCCTGACTGGGAATCGAGCCCGCAACCCAGGCATGTGCCCTGACCAGGAATCGAACCCCGATCGCTTGGATCCTAGGTCGATGCTCTACCGCTGAGCCACGCCCGGCCGGGCTAGTGAAGTTATTTTGCTTTTTGTTTTTCTCCATCATTTTCAGTAATGTACACAAAGATAAAGCAGTTCTAAAGTAGCAGATAATACATTTAAGGAAATTCATCATGAAGTATTTTATTTTGCATTTTTCATGTCCTTTAGGTCTGCAAAGAAAGCAGAATTGGAAGAAAATCAGCGGAGTTATAAACAGAAAAAGAAAAGGCGCCGCATTAAGGTTCAAGAAGATTCATCCAGTGAAAACAAGGTAATAATGATATTTTCCATGTTCTTGAATTGTAAATGGCACAGTAGACCATTTAAGTATGTTATTACCTCTTTTGCATTCCATTTGTTTGTCAAATTCTATTGGTTCATTTTCTTTTTATACTTTTGTGGAAGGATTGACTTATTGAATGTATAAATATGCAGAAGTATTGATTTTGACATATGAATTTTTTTTCTGTTTCTTAACTAAATCTAATTGAAATTTTAAGCTGTTCTAATTCATTATTTTACATTCTGAGGGCTATAGAACTGTTGTAAAGTGTTCTACTTTCTGAAGACATAAAATATTTTATCCTGAATAATCATTCACATGGAATAAATTTCTTCTAGCAGTGAAGTTAGCCAATTTGAGTTTCTTATATATAAACAGAATTACGTAAAGTACAATTCTCTGTAGTATATTTTATTATGTCAACACTATTCTCTTTTGGGGAGGGTTCATTTTTTGTTTTTGTGTTTTTTTATTTTTTAACTGTATTTTTTTTCTCTTTTTTCAGTTTATCTTTATTGTTGAAAATATTACAGATGTCCCCTTTTTTTCCCCATTGACCCCCTCCACCCCGCACCGCACCCCAGGCCTTTACCACACTATTGTCTGTGTCCATAGGTTAAGCATATATGCATATAAATTTTTTGGTTAATCGCTCCTTACCCACCCACCCACTCACCCACCCCTGCATACTCTCTCAGATTCCTCAGTCTGTTCCATGCTTCTGTGTCACTGGATCTGTTTTGTTCATCAGTCTATTTTGTTCTTTAGATTCCATATATGTGAGATCATGTGATGTTTGTCCTTCTTTAAATGAATCTTTTAAACCATTTCTAAGTATACAGTTCAATGGCTTTAATTATGTTCAGAATTGGATACTCTGTACCCATTTAAACAGTAACTCCCCATTCCTGACTAACCCCAGCCCCTCATAACCTCTATTTTAATTTCGGTGTCTATGAATTTGCCTATTTTTAGGCAGCTCATTTAAGTATAGTTATATAATATTTGCCCTTTTGTGTCTGACTTATGGTCATTGACATAATATTTTCAAGGTTCATTCATGTTGTAGCATGTGTCGTTGTTTCCTTTCTTTTTAAGGCTGGATAATATTCCATTGTATGTATATAGCACATTGTGTTTATTTATTTATCTGTTGATGTACATTTGGGTTGTTTCCATCTCTGGCTGTTGTGTATAATGCTGTTATTAAGGTAGGTGTGCAAATATCTGTTTCAGTCCATGCTTTTGATTCTTTTGACTATAATCTAAGAAGTGGAATGGCCAGATCATGTGGTAATTCTATGTTTAACTTTTTGAGGAACTGGCACACTGTTTTCCTAATGCACCAGGCTTTCAACTTTTCTACGTCCACACTAACAATTTTTACTTTCTGTTTTGTTTTGTTTTGTTTTTAATAGCCCTCCTAATGACATTTCATTTGTGGTTTTGATTTAAGTTTCTCTAATGACAAGTAATGTTGAGAATCTATTCATGTGCTTCCTGAACATTTCTATATCTTCCTTAAAGAAAAGTCTGTGCCAGTACCTTGCCCCTGTTTTGGGGGTTGTTTGTATTTTAATATTCTTCCTTATTGTAAAGAATAATTCTGAAGGTTTTCAGTCTGTTTTCTTTCACCTTTCTTTGGTATGTTATTTATGTTTATAGGAAATGGATAAACTCGGCAAATTTGTTATATTTACCTCTGATCATTTAATTTCCATAGAGTAATTCTGAAGAAGGAGATAAAGAAGATGATGAAGAGGAAGAGGAAGAAGAAGATGAAAATGATGATTCCAAGTCTCCTGGAAAAGGCAGAAAGAAAATTAGAAAGATCCTTAAAGATGATAAACTAAGGACAGAAACACAAAATGCTCTTAAGGAAGAGGAAGAGAGGCGAAAACGTATTGCTGAGAGGGAACGTGAGCGAGAGAAATTGAGAGAGGTAAATAAATTTTTATTTATGATTTTTTTAACGTCACTTTTATAGATTCATAGATATATTTCAGTGTTACAAGAATAGAATGTTGTAATCAATCACAGATTTTTAGTGACAGTTGAATTTTTTCTACTATCATTGTTTTATGCAACTTAAAAATCTTTATTAGGCTTTATTAATATAATTAGGTACATGGAAAGAGTTAAGATTATTAAATGATGACCAACATGATTGTGTTTTATCTGGGATAGAAAAATGGTTAAACAAAGTTTTTATTGTAAAAATTTTCAAGCAGATGTACAAATGGTGGGACTAGTTTTATAAATCTCTTTGTACCCATTACCCAGCTTCAGGTTACCAACACATGGCCAGTCTTGTTTCATCTATTCTCTCACCTTCAGATTATTTTGTTGAAGTCTCAGAAATCGCATTTTGTCCGTAATATAATTCAGAATATATTGTAAAAAGATGAAGACCTTTTAAACATTACCACAGTATCATTGTTACACTAAACCGTTAATAATAATTCCATAATATCAAATATCTAGTTATTTAAAATTTCTTCATTTTCCTCCAAAACAGTAATGGTTTCTAAAAATAGTTGGTGTGTACCAGAATCCTAAGAAGGTTTCACTCTCTACATGTTATGTTGCATTTGCATGCTATGTCTCTTATGTCTACTTTAACCTGAAGATTTCCTTATAGTACCTTTGTTTAAGAAACCAGATTATTTGTATAGAGTTTCCTACATTCTGAGTTTTGCTGATTGCACCCCTGTTTTGTATTTTCATTGTTTCCTGTATGTCTTATAAACTATTACTTGAATATAGATGCCTGATCAGATATAGAGTCAGTTTATTTTATTTTATTTTTATAAATATATTTTTATTGATTTCAGAGAGAGGAAGGGAGAGGTAGAGAGAGAGACAGAAACATCAATGATGAGAGAGAGAGTCATTGATCGGCTGCCTCCCGCACGCCCCCCACTGGGGATCGAGCCTGAAACCTGGGCATGTGCCCTGACCGGGAATCGAACTGTGATCTCCTGGACCATAGGTTGATGTTCAACTGCTGAGCCACGCCTTCTGGGCAAGTCAGTTCTTTTTTTGACAAAAATACTCATAGATTGAAATATATACTTCCTCTTGCATTTCACTTAGAGGTACTTTAAATCTAGTTGTCTCTTTTGGTGATGTTAATTTTATTTAAAAATTTAAACAACATTTTGGTAAATAGACATTAAAATCTTGTCTGGTCCGAGTGCAGTGGTGTCTTACAACTAATTGATCACAGCCAGTCACAGATTTCTTGCCCAGCCGGGCGTGGATCAGCGGTTGAGCGTCGACCTAGGATCCAGGCGATCGGGGTTCGATTCCCGGTCAGGGCACATGCCCAGGTTGAGGGCTCGATCAATGACTTTCTCATCATTGATGTTTCTGTCTCTCTCTCTCCCTCTCCTTCCCTCTCTCTGAAATCAATAAAGATATATTTAAAAAAAAAATCTTATGTTATTATAATTTTCTAATTTTGATTCCTATCAGTATACATACATGTATTTCACATAATCACATCATTGTATGTAGCATATGCTATATTTTTCTCTCCCTTAAAACATTTTTTTTCCTTTTTATTGAATTTATAGGGCTGACACTGGTTAACAAAATTATACAGGTTTCAGGTACACAATTCCACAATATATCTACTGTATTGTGTGTTCATCACCCCATTTCCTCTCTCTGTTATTTCAAGCAATTTAAATGTTTGTCATCATATTCCATGTACTTTTAATTGGTTTATCATGTTTATTTTCTAATTAAATTTTTATGTATATTAAATTGAATATATGTATATGCTTCGTTAAAATCAAATATTACTCTAAGGCTACATTGAAAAAGAAACAATTTTCTGTTCTACCTGGATTCTCTACTCAGAGGAAATGACTCAGTTCTTTTAGCTGTTGTTTGCTTTTACCTATATGTTTCTGTTTAATATGCTTATTCTATTTCTTCATTTCTCATTGCATTATTAGGAAGTTATGGATTTAGCTCTCATTTACTACCCAGCAGAGATAGTTTCCTTTTCCCATTCTCTCAGTATGGTTACATCACAGTTCTGGTAAAATCATTAGTCAGTTTTCGCATGACTATAACTATGTAAATATTCACAACAGGGTTACATAGTGCATATTTTATGTGTATATCACACACACATATGCATGTATACATACACATAGTGTAGAATGATTACATTCTTTTGTGTGTGCTTTTGGTTTGCATTTATTAGAGTTAATAATGTTTTGGGGTCTTTTTCTATATATTTAAGATGAATTCATTTTCCATCTTTAAAGCAAAACTGTGTGTATTGCTGGTTTTGAATGTTCTAAATTCCAAAAGTCTCACCCCAGCTTCTTCTCTGGTCCTTCGGAGGTCAATTTTGTGTTTCCACCTGTAATGTCTTGTCCCTGGTGCCTATGGGTTTATAGTTGCCTTGTAGTTTTTTATTTTTTTATTATTGATTTCAGATAGAGTAAGGGGGGAAAAGAGAGATAGAGAGGGGGAGAGAGAGAGAGAGACATGGGGGTGCCAGACAGACATCCATTGGTATGAAATATCAATCTGTTGCCTCCCTCATGTGCCCCAACCAGAGATTGAACCCTCGACCTGGGTATGTGCCCTGACCAGAATCAAAATCACAACCTTTTGGTGCATGGATTACGCTCCAACCAACTGAGCCTCACTGGCCAGGATGCTTTTTTCTTTTTTAAATAAACTGAATTCTGTTTTTTCCACCAGAGTTTCAAGTTAGGTGAAACAGTAACAAGAGTTTTATGTCAACCCTTCAGTTATCCCCCAGACAGGTTAGAACAGATGTACACAGTAATTTGTAAGTAAAGTCTGCTGTGCTCCCTCATTTGAGGGAGAGAACTGGTAACCAAGCTGCTGCTGGCTTGAAGTAAAAGACTATCACTTCCGAGGTGATGGGGTAAGGACAAGTAAAAATGACATAAAACTTTCCTACCATTTTGAAGATGGCTTTTTCTTGACTGGTTATTTTCTTGGTTGCTGTAAACTTTTAACTGTTTTGCAGAACACTGACAAAGTTGTTTCAGACAGTTTCTGATTATTTTTTCTTTGACATTTCTGTGTGGAAATGAGAGCTTTGAGCTTCCCAGTCCATCATTTTGTTGACATCTCCCTTTCCCCCTCATTTTTTGGAGGTTATTATCTCTGGGTACAGAATGCTAAGTTGATAATTTTTTTTTCTTTCATCTGTTTAAAGATGGTATTTCTGTATGACATGGTGTTTACCGTCTTCCTTATCTTTGCCCCTATGTGTGTAATGTCTTTTTTTAATTTAAAAGATTGTTTTAATGATTTTTAAAAGATTTTCTGTTTATCACTAGCTTTCAGGTATTGATTATTGTGGTAATCTTAGTTTTTATCCTGCTCGGTGTTCCTTTTACTTGTTGGATCTGTGGGTTTATGGTTTCCATTTAATGTGTGTGTTTTTTTAAATTTTATTTTTGTTTAAAAATACAGATGTCCGTTTTTCTCCCCAATGACCCATTCTACCCCGTCCCTTCCCCCTCCCCAGTCCCTCTCCCCACCATTGTCCGTGTCCTTGGGTTGTGCATATATGCATATAAATTCTTTGGTTACTCTCTCCC